TTATGGGCTTATAGAACATCACCTCGGTCAAGTACCAAAGTCACTCCTTTCCAACTTGTTTATGGGCAGGAGGCCGTTTTGCCTATGGAAATCAACGTGCAATCAATTCGAGTGTGCTTACAGCATAAGTTGAATGATGATGAGTATGCCGAGTCGCTAGTTCAAAATTTATTAAGTTTAGATGAATTGAAGTTGGACGTCTTGGATAAGTTGCAAGTTCAAAAGCAAAGAATGGCTAAATTTTATAATAAAAAAGTCATAGCCAAGTCGTTCAGCCTGAGTGAACTAGTTTGGAAGACAATACTCCCTTTGGATACCAAGGACCCAAAGTACGGGAAATGGTCGCCCAATTGGGGAGGACCATACAAAATAAACAGTGTATTGCCTAATGGGGCATATCACTTAGAAGATTTAGACGGCACCAAGCACGTAAGATTCATTAATGGCAAATATTTAAAAAAATATGTTCCTTCTTTATGGGAATGCGAACAGATAAAAACATAACCAAACATTCTAGACGATCAGACAGAGCGAAATAAGTTCAAATAAAATTCTTTATTGCCAAACGTTCATTACAAGAATATTAAAAAAAAAAAAATACAAGTATTAGGCGTGTTACAAAATACAATTAAAGAAAGATGATCTCCCAGCCGATCACTGAATAAGCTTCACACCGCCTTCCTAAATGCATCGCTGCAGTAGTGGGATTGACGAGTGAGAGGGTGTACTGGCCTCACCACCTTCCTAAATGCATCGCTGCAATAGCAAGCAAATAGGCTGAGAAACACTCTCAGCAGGCAAGCTGAGAAGCACTCTCAGCAAGCAGAATGGCCCATGAGCAGCCCCAAAAATTGCCTTCCATCATCGACCCCTTGTGAAGAACAAAGGGACGACGGGAAGAATTTTGCAGGAAAGAACTTCGCTGCTGGCCAGAAAATATTTCCTATACCTCCCATACCAAAGGTGACATCAAAGTAAGTATAAGGCGGACGGACTAAACATGTCCATTTTTGGATCAGATTGATCGTCAGAATGCCAAGAAATGGCAGCAAATTGGCTTCGAATAAGAAAATGAGGAGATGAAGATAGA